AGAGGATTCACCAGAGACAGAGTGGGGAGCAGAACAGGCAGATGGACAAAGTACACTGCTGAGGGGAGCAGTGGGTGGGTCAGGAGAGGTCTGCCACGCCATGTGGGTCACCTTTGGGACAGGCGGGAATCGAACTCATGCGGAAGCAGCTTGAGCTTCTTAGTGCTGTGCTTAACCTGCTGTGCCACCAGGGAGGGCCCGAAAGTTGGCTTTTAACAGCATGAGAAGCCACAGGCAGAATATCAAAGTTACGATGCTTTGGACCCCATCAACTCTCCTAAACGGCACAGAGAAACAGCGTGCCGTCTGTGTGGGTCTGAGCTGGTCTCAGAGCAACTGCAGGCAGAGGTCAGAACCAGGGCAGCATGAAGGGAGAGCCCTGCCAGAGTCAACAGTGTGGGTGCTTCTGGGGAGAGCCCCGACTCCCCAGGAGGCAGGAACACTCTCGGGGGGGCGAGGGCAAGCCAGAGACCTTCACCTGAACTGGTTTCCAGCTCCTTGAACTAAAGACAGTAAATAAAGGTCAGATGGCGACTTTTCAGATGAAATGAGATGTGTTCCCATTAAGGTTCCAGGAAGGAGGAGGAGGGGGAGCATCACTGTTCCTGGAGATTAGCCCTCCAGTGACTGGCTAAGCAGCACGGCGGCTCTGAGCACTTGTTAAGTTTCGTGAAAGGGAGGGCCTGGCAATGCAGTTCGAACACGCTCACGGCGGTGCAAGGGGGCTCCAGTCGGCAGGGCCCATTCATTCGGTCCTCACTTGTAAGTACCCCCTGCTCCCGTTGGGGAGACAAGGCTCGCCAAGCTGAGCCCCTCTTTGCTCTGTGAACACACAGTTCTTCTAGTCAGGGCCCTTTCCCTTTGGCCACCCTGTTTTTTTTTTTATTTAATAATATAATAGTTTATTTTTACATATTTTTGTGCATTTTTCCATCTCAGTTGCAATCCCCTTGGGCTTCCCATCACCAAGTCACCCATGTGCCATCACCACAGTCCAGTGCGCTTCCCTCCCCACTCCCCCCCC